AATCTGTTTAAATCAGATTTGATGTGGTTTGGTTTAATTATGAATTTGAATATGAGTGGACAGTTCTCAGAATTACAAATGGCTAATAAATACATGAAAAAATACTCATCCTTGCTGACCATTAGAGAAATGCATATTGAAACTGCCCTGAGATACTACCTTACTGAAGGAAGAGTGGTATCATAAAAAAATCTAAGAATAGGCACTGCTGATAAGGATATGGGGGGAAAATTCTACTACATTGTTGGTGGGAATATAAACTAGTGCAACTAATGTAGAGATTCCTTAAAAAACTAGAAGTACAAATCCTATTTGATCCAGCTACCCTGCTCTTTGGTATCTTCCCCAAAGACTTAGAATATCATATTATGGGAATACAGACCCATGTTAATAGCAGCACAATTTATAATAGCTACGTGTTGGAAGTAGCCTATATGTCCATCAACACATGGATGAATGGATAAGGAAAATGTATTTGTACACAATGAAGTACTACATTGCCATAAAAAAAGATAAACTTGAGGCTTTTATAGATAAATGGATGCAACTTAAGAACATAACGTTAATGAAATAAGTCATATACACAAGATGAAATATCACATGGTTTCCCTTATAAGAGAAAAATATACATAAATATAAATAAATAAGGAGCAAAATAGAAGAATGATAAAATAGGAAATAAATTCAGCTACTTCCCCAAATTACATATTCTGCTGGGAATCTCTATATATGCTAATTTGTTTCATTTATACTAATAGTTTATCTTAACTCAAGGAAACATTTCTCTTATGTTTCTTTTTTTGTGAGATTCTTTTTGATTTGTCTTGTACTAATTACCTTGAAGTTAATGGTACACAATGTCATTATAACTGTTATTCTCTTATCATTTGGTCATGAAAATTTGTTTTTTCATAAAAAGAAATCAATTGTAAAGTGAAAAAAATATTAATTTGAGTTGTTAGTGTCTTTTTCTACTTCTCTTCTGCAAATCTCACCAAAGTTATGTTCTAATACTATTACTGAGGCAGTATTCTAGACTGATCAGGGTTTGGCTTTGTTTTCTAGTGGTGTAATTACTAAATTGTTCTGTACTGAAGGTTTTTTTCCCCCTCTTTCCCTTTTTTAGTTTTGATTTGGTTTTGTCATGGAAAGTGTCTTCTAGCCACAAAAGGTGTAAAGATGGTGAAGTTCTGATAACTCTTATCCTGTTTGGCCTGAGTACATCTGTGGTCATTTACTTCCTTAACAAATTGGTGAACATATAAGGAAGCATATATGGTACGGTAGGAAATACTGTAGTATCTTCTCTGAGCAGAAGGAAGTATGTGAAGTATGTGTATATGAATGTAATGAGTAGGCAAATATTTTACTTTTTTGAAAATTTCAATGGATTGGAGGATATGGGAAAGCCTCACAACTACTTACAGGTAGGATGTGCTTTGATGATAAATTGCAACTTTTAAAAATCTTCACACATCTTGGTATATAACATTGGATTCAGCTAGAGTAATTAACATTACAGTAGTTATTCTTGTTTTGAATATAAGATCTTAGTTATCTGAGAAGCAAAAGGTTAGTGGTTAACGTAAAGTCAATTTGCTTGTATAGAGTGAAGAATATAAGTTTTGTTGAGCCATTGTATCGTATGAACATATGGGTAATAATAGCAAGCAGGTGTTTTGTCCCACCTCACTCCCAGTCTGCGGCAGAAGGCTCCAGAACACAGAGCAAAAAAGGAAAGAGCATGGTATAAATCAGCAGTGTACCATTTAATTTTTGTTTGCTATTTTGAAAATTCTGGAATCAATCTTTTCTCTTTAAAGGTTTGCCGGGATTATTACGTTTAACTAAAAGTACATTTATATGGCATACAGATAATTGGAGAAACCTACTCATGTAAATAAGATATTGACAGTCTGTAATTATCAAAAGAGAAAATGGATAGTAGTGATTCTTTGTTGTAATGAAGATTTAACACTTTATTTCATGAATTTAAAAGGGTCCTTAGGGCACTTAAGGATTTAGTATTGCTTTTTGGTTTTTATGTTGTGAAACATGCTATATAGCTATTATGAAAAAAATGTTTTTACACAAGATCTGAAATTTGGTTTGCTAAACTTTTTTTTGGTGTACTTGTCAGTTCAGATCATGTTAATAGATATCTTGTTTTTCTGATAGATTGCCACACTACATTATGAAATCATGAATTTTATTGAATCACCCTGATTATAAAGGTGGGCTGCCTTTTTGTATTAGACTTTTTTTTTTTTTTTGGTACTGGGGAATCGAACTTGGGCCCTTGCACTTGCGAGGCTGGGCGGCAGAACCACTGGGCCAAATCCCTGGCCCTGTAGTACACAATTCTTAAAGTTTTGTGTTAGTCATCTATCAGGTTAGTAATGGAGATGGGTCTTGATAAGTACAGATACATATTGTATCTTGTTATAACTTGACACTTTTTCGTATGAAGATTTATTAAATTAGTTGGATTACAAGCATTGATTATATATTGTGAATCTAATATATATATATTTCTTGCTTGCTTGCTTGCTTGCTTTCGTACCAGTGAGCAAACTCAGGTCCTTGCACTTGCGAGGCAGGCAGCAGAATCACTGAGCTAAATCCCCAGCCCTCTACTAGATATTTTTTGAATTTTTGAATTCTTCCCTACTCCAATAAATATAGTAACCAGTAGATAAATTGAGATAAATAGGAATGTCATGGCTTATGCATTAAAGGGAAGATCAAGATTACACACAATTATTGAAGGCACTTTATTATATCACTGAAGAAGCAATTTGATCTTAATATTTCCATGTTTCTAGCCTTAAGGCAGCACAAGGGTGGAATGATGCATGATTTGGTACAAAATGCTGTCCAGGTTCATCAGGCAGTTGTGTTTAGCTCTCATACTCATTTTTTCTATGGAGTCAGAAATAATGTTGCGTGAGCATGCTATGTGATTGCTGACTTGATCTAATAAGTATTTATTAAAAAGGGTTTTAATCAACATTTACTTGGTAATCTAAATTTTGTAGAATTTCAAGGCATTGAAGAATAAAATTTATGGTTTTCTTTTGTTTTGTTTTGTTTTTGTACTGGGGATTGAACTTGGGATCTTGAGCTTGCAAGGCAGGCGGTGGAACCACTGAGCTAACTCCCATTTGAAATTTATATTTCGATGTTGGGTACAATGATCTCTTACTAGTTATGTAATTAATTTGTGCTAATACCAACGGGTACTTGGTGGTTTGAGTAGTAAGAGTTAGTATGGTGATTGGAAGAGTGATGGAATTATTGAAATGACTTTCATTTGTCCCTTAAGTAGATTCCAGGCAACTTTTGGGTTTATGTAAGATACTCTGTACCTATCCAAGTAAGGAATTTCCATTGTAATTATATGTAATAGTGGTATTTTTAATCAGTTTCAAAGATTTTTTAAAAAATCTTACCTGTTGAAAAAGATTGAGGAATAGATTTTGCTTTTAACTCCATAGCTGTAATTCATAGACAGTCAATAGTTAAGTATGTTAAATATGGGGTCTTCAGCCACCTTGCTAGGGTATCACTAAAACATTGTTTTATTTTTTTATTTTTAAAAATTGAGTATCTCAGGATAGAATCAGAACTAATCAAAAGTAATTCAGCTTGCAGAAACTTAAATCACTTCCTAACTTTTATGCTATTTCAATTAAAGCCACTTCCCAATATTTAAGGAAATATTTAAATATTCAATTTTATATACCTTTATCAATTATGAACTCATAATGTCATTATATAGCATTAATTAAAAAAATCAATTAAGTGGGATTTTAAAGATTTCATCAAAGTTAATAGTCCTGTGGAACATCAAATAAAGTATAGAGACTGCTATGAACAAGTCATTTGCCTGTTAGAACTGAAATCTTACTTCAAAACAAAACATTTATTTATATTTTTCTTTAAATGCCATGCCTTCACCATCTCTCAGAAAACCACATTTTCCTATTACAGAGGAAATAAGAGTCATCAAAACAGGAGCTACCACATATTCTTCATACACTTGTTTCTGTTAACATTGTAGTTTTTTTACTTCTTTTGGCTTAACTAGTTATAACTTTAAAATGGTAATTACTAGCATTCATTGATCACTTACTGTGTTCCAAGCACTATTCTGTATATTTTCAGCATATAAATTAAACCATACTTGATTTCCTTAACAACCTGTCTTTTTTGCAGATCAGGAGAAAGTCACGTAACTTCACAGTTAAACAGCCGGTGAATGTCACATCATGAATTTGAATTTAGCCAGTCTTATTCTAGAGCCTTTCCTTCTGTGTTTTGTCATCATGAGAACCTGAATTATGTGTTCTTGAGTTTGCTTGTGCTTTTCTCCTTGTCTGCTCGGTGTGATTCCTGTCTCTGTGCTGGCCCATAGGGTCGTACTCTGGACTAGTTCTCAGTCTGGGTGTTCTCAATGTGGCCTTCCATTTATTTTAGGAGATGGGACAGGTTGTTTTTTTTATCGTTAAGGTGAGGCCAATATGTACCTTAGAGAATGGTTTTATAGTGGTTGAATAGAGTAGTGTGTAGAAAGTGCATGCTGGTTTCTGACATGGGGTAAAGACTTGTGAGCTCTATAACACCACCTCTTGGGCTCAGAGCATTTTTCTCTGTTGCTCATTATGAGGGACTGTGGTTTTTGATTCGTTGTTATTGGGTTTGTTTTTGGGTTTTTTTTTTTGGTGTCTCTAAAATGCGGTGCCTGTCATCTTCATCTCACTCCACTGCTTGCTCAGAGTGGGTGTGCAAGGCCTACTTAGGGTATATTGTTTTAGTTTAAAAACTATTTTAAAATGTGTATTTTGTTATTTGTGGTTGAGATGACTTCTAAAGGATTTCTCTTTTCTCTGTTCTTCTCTGAGGTTAAAATCAAGACATAAATTTAATGGGGGCTAAAGAGCTAACTATGGAGGTTATGAGACATTTTTACAAATACTTTTTCTTTTGTACCCCCCCAGGAAATTTGGTGAGCGGCCTCCACCTAAACGACTCACTAGGTAAGCATTTTATATATTTATATATGTATTTTTTGTTTTTGTTTTTTATTGGTACGGGGGATTGAACTCAGGTCCTTGCGCTTGCAAGGCAGGCAACGGAGCCACTGAGCTAAATCCCCAGCCCCATAAGCATTATATTAGTCAGGCTTTCTTTTTCTTTCTTAAAAAATTAATTCTATTGGTACACTTGATGTATACAATATAATGACATAAATTGTTGGAGATTTGTACCTTCACATAATCAATCTTGGTTCTTATTTTTCCCCATCCCCCTCCCCTCCCTTCAATCCCTCCCTCCCTATCTGCAAAGAGTTTGTTTCCATTACTTTTCATTGTATCGTATTAGTCAGGCTTTCACTCAGCCAATTTGAGTATGCGTAGATCCTATCATTTATTAAGAAGGTACTATTAAGAATCTTTCCCATATTGGTACCTACATTACAGACTTTTATTCTCATCCTTCCTACCTCCTATTTCTCCTCTCTCTCCAAAAAAAAATGTATGAGGATATCATTTAAAAGGAAAGAAAGAAACCTTTTCAAGCAGTTCTTTTTATAATATAGTGACTGTAACAAGGTCGGCAGTATTATAGAAGCTTTCTATATTTAGCTGTGTTTAGCCAGTCATAATTATTTGATTACAGGTGAGGCTTGAAAAGATTTTGGGAGCGGGATACCAGGTACTGAATTTGGGACCTTGTGCTTGTGAGGCAGGCAGTAGAACCACTGAACTAAATTCCTGGCTTGAAAAGGTTTAATAATGCTCTTAGAAAGGAGTTTTAAAGAAAACAAGATTTTTACCTATTTTAAACAAAACAGATTTTATGATCTCACCCCAGAAATAATGTTAAGAAATCAACCAATAGCAAATGCTGGCAGGGCTGTGGGCAAAAAGTAAACCGTCTCCACTGTTGGGATTATAGAGTGGTACAACCACTGTGGAGAGTTCTCAAAAAAAACTAAAACTAGAGATTCCATTTAACCCACCTTTTCCCTTTCTTGGTATCTTCCCAAAAGAATTGAAAGCATCATACCATAGTGATATTTGCTCATGTTTATAGCAGCAAAGTTTGTAATAGCTAAATCTTGGAAACAGCCCAATTGCCCATCAACCAATGGATAAAGAAGATGTAGTGTTTTATGCAGTGGAATACTGCTCAGCCATAAAGATAAACTTGAGACATTTATAGCTAAATGGATGCATCTTGAGGCCATACTGTTAAGTGAAATAAATAGGCCAAACGTATAAATACTTCATTGTTCTCTGGTCTGAGAAACTATAAGTGTAAATGAGAACCAAAATGTATAATAGATAGTGTGAAATAGGAAGAAAATATTCAAATGGCCAGGGGTACTAGGAAGGGGGGCCAGGAGAAAGGAAGGATGGGAAAGAAAAAGAAAATGAGAAAAGAAGGAAACAAATGGAAGCAAAGCTTTTGTAAATAAGGAGGTGAAGAGGGCTTGAAGGGAAGGTAGGAGAATGGGCCAAAAAAGAATCAAGATATATCACGTACAAGTACAAATTCCCTATGATGAATGTGATTACTACATGTATATGGAATGTACCAATAAACTTAATTAATTTAAAAAATGTGTGTGTGTGTGTGTGTGTGTGTATAAAATTTTAAAAAGCTATTCCACTGACCCACCTAACAGTTTACCCCTAGTGTTACTGGAAGAGCGTCTTTGTTTACTTGTTAGGTATTGACTGTCCTGAGTGTCACTTACAGGTGTCATTTCAACCAGTTGATTCTTGTATTGAGTACATGTGATAGAATTATTGTTTTTAGACTTCCTGTTACCTTATAAAATAAATTTTAAAATATGCAATTTTTGATCATCCTGTGGGTGTGCAATAATTAGAACGGGAAGTGGCTAAAGAATGAGGAACACTTGCCAGAAGAACACAGGAGACAGTGTGAAGATACTCCTGCACCATGATCATCAGATGAATCTGAAACACCTTGATCAGCAAATAAGTAATGATGCAATAGATTAAAACTCATAAAAGCAAGCAACAAGGTAGAAGTCTGTACTGGCGGATTGAGCATCCCTAATCCAGAAATCTGAAAATCTAAAATAACTCCAAAATCTGAAACATTTTGAGTGCTGATAGAGCACTCAAAAAACTTTTATACTCTTAAAGTATTTTGGATGTTTGGATTTGAGATGTTCAAACCTTGGTCTGTCAAATATACCAAAAATCTGAAAGAATTGTGGACTCCAGAATATTTCTGGTTCTAAGCATTTAGGAAAACAGATACTCAACCTATAGTGAGATAATTATCTTAGTGCATAGATAATAATTTGTCTTTCCTTCTACATATAAATATAAAATTATTTATATGAATGAGTCAATAAATGGAGGAATAGGGTAACTTTTCCTTATAGAAGAACCACCTAACAAATGTAGAAAGAATGTAGATTTATGGAAATCTCTATTGGGCAGTTGAAGTATAGTGATAATATCAGGCAAAATTATTAGTGGTCACTTAAACTACTGACTTAACAAAGTTAAGCATTTGTATAGCCTCAAGGTGAGTCCTGACAATTAAAAAGGGCAAATAGTACCATGATAGTACACAAACATGCCAGCCACCACCACCTTTAAGTAATCTAAGTTAATGGTGACAAACATATCACATGCATCCCAAAGACACAGTACCACTTTTGGTTTAAGGGACATCTATAAAATAAATGGTCTTTATTCCTCAAAAATCATGCGATTATGTGAAACAAAGACTGAGGAATTGCTCCAGATTAAGGAGACCAAAGTGATAGAAATAAATGTCCAATAGATAGATAGATAGATCCGAAACAGGATTTTTTTTTTCTTTTGCTATGAAGCCAGAGTTGACATGTTTTCTGTTAATAGCCCTAGTCAGACAGTTGGCAAAATTTGAGTAAAATATTTAGAGCAGAGTTGTTTTATCAATGACAATGGCATTGTGATTTTTAAAAGAAATAACATTGTTGTAGTATTTTGGATAAAGTGTCATGCCTGCATTGCTCTTAAATGTTTTAAACGTAACATGCAAATAGTATGATAAAACATTAAAATTTGAGGAGCCTCAGTGACTAGGAATTACTATTTCTACTTTTGCCAATTTTCCATTTCCTTAAAATTTAAAAACATTTTTAAAACCCATTATATAAATATTTTAGATAAAACAAAGTTGTAGGTCCATGTAAACATATTTCTATTGTTTTTATATATCTGTTTAATAAATTATGATGAATAGAATTGCTATATTTAGATATATAGGCATTTTGAAATTTAAAACTTAGAAGGTAAATTATCTTACTATCAGTAGTTACTTGAAGTGGCTTCTAATGATACATTTTGATGACAGTTATTTTAATGGATATATCTGTAAAAAGTAAGCAATATGATAAATTCCATAAGGAAATTTTTTTCTTCCCTAAATATATACAGTAATACAGTAGACCTTATCTACTTTACTGTGATTTTTCCATAATTTAACCTTTAAGTGGTTTTTTCCCTCTTTGGAAAAGTTTAGTAGCTTTTAGGCTAAGATGGAGTAATAGGAACTGGACTTCTCCATCCTGAAACAACTAAAAACCATGGACAGAATACATGAAACAGTGGTTTTCAAGATATTGAACATCAGGCAATGAAGGGCAGTGATTCCCAAGAAACAGGAAGCAAATGAGATAAGCCCCACGATTGTCCCTGCTTTGACCCTGAGAGTTTCCACCCCAGGCGATAGGGAGGTGGCATCCACGTGAGACAGGAATGTATGGAGACCAAGAGAGATGAATTCACAGGGCTGAGACCCAGAGAGGAAAGAACCCCAAGAGCTGTGGAGAGCTACGGAGCTACTCTTCTAATGTTCATCCTAGTATCGATCAGTACATGTATGTGAAGGAACTACTTATTGTAGGGAAAAAAGCATCCAGAACAATTTAGAGAAAACAGTTCCTGAAAGTCATTTAGGACTATGAATTGATGAATTGTACCTTTTTCAGTGGATGGAGTTTTTAAAAAGTCATAATTCGCAGGGTATCACCTAAAGTACTCAGAATCCTTCTAAAAATTAGGCCTAGACTAAATGATACTGTTTTCACATTACATAAAGCACAATTGAAAAGATCAAACTATGAAATTATGTACAGAACAAAGCTCAATAAAAAAGCCATGTAATGTTTACCAAAAAAAATTCACCAAACAAAGAAGCAGAAAAATAACGATAATGAAAAATGTCAAAGGCAACCAAGATACGTCAGGAATGACATTAAAACAGTTACTATACTTCTCTTCTGTATATACAGTGGGTATCATACTTATGGTCTTTATATTCGGGGCACTAAGATTAATTGTTCGAAAAATGGCCAGATGGTGTTTTATATTCTCTGACATAGCTTCTGTGGTTTAACTCAACTCTTGTAGCACAAAAGGAGGTGTAGATGCTGTGAGTGTATATTGGGATATGATTTTTGTTTCTGAAACAAATGAGGGCCTACCTACTGGCTGAGCTAGAGAGATTGAATAAGTTTAGTAAAGCCATGGAAGATATGTACTTATAAAAGGGCCAATTCAAATTAGTAGAGATAAGAATAATCTTTAAGATAAAAAATATACTTGATGAGTTTGATTTCAGAATAGCAGTAACTGAATTTGAAGAAATAGCAGTAGAAAGCATCTAAAATGAAGCACACAAAGGAAAAAGATCTGAGGAAAAGGGCAAACATTAGTAAGCTGTGGTCTATCTTCAAGTGTCCTTACATATATGTGAGTGGAATCATTGAAAGAGACAGTATGAATAAAACAATATGGGAAGAAATAATGGCCTAAATTTTTCAGTTTCATTAAAAACTTTAAAACCACAGATCCAGGAAACTCGATGAATCCCAAGGGTAAAGCTACACTGAAGCACATTATAATCAATTTGTTTAAAACTAGTGCTACAGAGAAAATCTTAGAAGCAACAGAGACAAAAGACAGATTTTACAAAAGAACAAAGATGAGGACAGCAACAG